TAATAAACTAATAAGAGTAATAGAAAGAAAAAAAGACTACAAAGCAAGACAAAAGCAAAGATAATATATAGCAAAATTAACAAAGCTGCCAAGTAATGCTTTAAAGGTTCTACTATTACAGTGTTTAAAAAGTAAAGATGCAAGATCAGTTTAAATTCTACCAAATAGAAATAAAAACTAAAGAAAAACTGCAATAGTTATATTTACAATAAAAAAAAAATAAAGACAACTTGGTTAAAACCAATTATGTACAACAACTTTCAAGTATTCTGAATAAATAATAAAAAAAAAAAAAAAAAAAAAAACTAGAATAGAACTAATCAAAATTCAAATAGAAAATATATAAGAATAAAAGATAATTTTCAAATACAGAATATAAAAGAATATTTGAAAATAGAAATATCAATACAAAAATAAGAAAAAATAGAAGTTTCAAAGAAAAAAAAAAACCAAGTTAGAACTAGTTAAAACTCAAATATAAGATATATAGAAATAAAAAATAATTTTTATATATAAAATATAGAAAAATAGTTAAAAGATAAGAATACTAATATAGAAAAAAAAAACTTAAAAAAAAAGAATATGAAATCAAATACACAAATCTAACTAAAAACCAGACAAGTAAAAAATGTTTTGAGTCAAATTTTGAATAGACTAAATAGACTAAAAGATATATAGCTAAGTACAAAAGAAGGTCAAGCTAACTGCTTTTAAGAATGCTTTAGTTGAACTTAAAAATACAAACAAGAAAATTAAAGACTTTTTGCAAAGAAAAAGAAAAATGTTTAAAGAAAAGAGAAAAAAATGTTTTCTAGTTTAAAAAAAAAAAGCAAAAAGAAGTCAAAAACATAAAAACAAAATAAGAATAGCTAAAAAAAAAGTGAAAAAAAAAAATCAAAATTGTATATTATAACATTAATAAATTAAAAACTAAAGGTTGAAAACTCAAAAATCTGCTTAACTAAACAAAAAAGAAGAAATTGCAATATTGAAAATTACAAAATCAAATTTTATAAAAAAAAAAAAATTTTTAACATAAGTTGCAAACAGAAAATATATAAGATATTAGACAAATGCAACAAAAAATAGGAAAAAAGAATTAGGCATAAAAATTCTGATAAAAAAATAATAGAAAAAACATATAAGTATAGTTAAAAAATAAGCAAATGCATTACCTTCTATCTCAATACCACAAATTATTACCAAAATTGATATTTGGACTATTCAATGGATTAAATATCATACCCCTCTCTCATATATTATTACTAATACCCAAATCTAGATAAGCCTTGGCCACTCTTGTAGATTTAGATCACAGATTATATGTCTGAGTCTTTATTCTTCATATGTAATTTAAAAGCAAGCTTTTCTTTGTAAAAACTTCAATTGAATTTTAATAAAGTTAAAGGCATGACCTCACTGTTAATATTTAAAAAAAAAACTTCATAGTTATTAAAATATATAAAAAACTTTTTTTACAAGTTTTTAAAATTTGATCTGACTAGGTTATGAAAACTAATTAATTATTTTTGTATAGTCTAAATATAATAATATAGTAATAAAAGTAACAAAAAAAATACAAAATACATATCAATTTCACATATTAGTTCATATATAAATATGTAAAAGTCTAACAAATTAACTCTATAATATATAAGAAAATATTAAAATCTGTTAATTTCATAATATATAGTTAAAAAATAAATAAATCTAAAGCTTTTTTTATTAATATTTATAGTAGAGAACATCTGTTTCACCTTTTTTAGTAGACAGTTTTTAAAATTTAGTACTTATATAGTACTTATATTTAGTAACTAATATATAATATATAGAAACCTCACTTCTAAATAAAGTTTATAGAATTACTGATTTGGTTTTTTTTTTAATATTAAGATGTCCTTTTGGGTCTGTAGAGTTACTAATTATTTTTAATTATTTTGGCATAATAAATATAAATATTTTGCAAATTAAAAAGTAGCTTTTGTAATGATTTTTTATTAGTAAAACATTATATTTTTAAAAAATACTTGAAGTGTATAAATAAGTTACCCAGGCAATTAATTTACATTAACCAATTAGACAAATGTCTGTCTATGAGATGAAAATGTAATAGTTTACTTTATTACATAACAGAAAGCAAATAGTTTGAGATAGTAATAGTATATAAATTAACTTTATTAAATAAACATATAGTGCCAATTTTATCTGTAGAAATTACTCTAAAGAAAAAATAATACTCTTTATAATTAAAAGATTATTATGTTTAAATTGAAGTATAGAAACTTATAATTAGCAGAAAAGTAGAAGAAATACTCTTTATATATCTTTTTACTTAGCAGAAATAATAGAGATTCAAGCAACATTACTTGATACTGTATTTAGGGTAATAGAGGTTTAAACAATATTAGATATCATTGTACTTGAAATAATAAAAGTTTAAACAGCATTAAATAATACTGTACTTAGGGTAATAATACTGTATTTAAGATAGTAGAAATTATATAAAGGCAACTGAAGATATTGTTTATGTTATTTGTTATTTGTGCTTGAAATATTTGAGACTTATGTTTAGATACTTGAATTTGTGCAAAGGCATTTGAAATTTGTGCAAAGATACTTAGAGTTTATGCAAAAACAATTAAGGTTCATATCAATAATACTTGGAATTTTTGTGCTGCAGCATTTGGTACAATAATTTGGTATTAAGATACATGATACTTGTATAAAAGTACTTGAAGTTTGTAAGATGATAATAAAATTACAGAGGTTATTTAGTATTATGAGACTATATTACATTTCTTATAGAAATTAAGATTCTTTTTATCTATCTACTATATAATATAACTATTGACTAACTAATAATTAATAACTAATTTTTTTTTTGATATTAAGGTGACCTCTTTGGTTTTTTATTTTCTATTAATACTTATATTGAGTACATATTTATATAGACAGATTTATATTAAACTTTCAGATGAGAGTACAACTGGCTATATATATAACTTTTTATATTACCTATTTAAGGAGTTTGCCCAAAGGTTTCTTACTAATTGCTATATATAACATTCCTGCTTAGATGTTTCATTTAAACATAACTAATAACTAATAATATAATAGACAAAATACAATAATGAATATATATATAATTACTAATACTATTTTATAATATACTATGTTAAAATCTACTTTGTAACAATTCTTATAGATTTAGATTATAAATTATATATCTAAGTCTTTATTTTTTATTTGTAATTTAAAAGTAAGCTTTTCTTTATAAAAACTTTAATTGAATTTATAAAGTTAAAGATATGGCCTTATCTTTAAGATTAAAAAAAATATTAATAGAATTTAATTATATTAAAAAATTAAATTTTTTTAAGTATATAATAATAAATACTATAAATTAGTTAATTAAAAATATATATAATTAATATTTTTATATAATTTTTTTATTATTTAACATTAAAAAAATAATGTAATATTTAATAATTTATATAAAAAATATATATATAAATTAATATAAATTAAATTATAATTAGAACTTAAAGATATTTCAAAATTAATAGCATTAGATTATTATAATATAAATCATACAAATTAGTATTTATTTATAAACTATAATAAATATTAAAAACAAATCTCAAAAATTTTAAGTATTAACTGCAATTAAAAAGATGAAAAAATAAGAGTTAGTATTTATTTTATATAATAAATAAAAAGAACAATAATGATCTTGAATATTATTAAGTTTAATAAGAACTTTTATGCTTATTATTTTTTAATTTTATAATAGCTAGTATGCAATTTATAAGCATTAGTATATTTTTATTATGTATTTTTAAATGTAACAAATTTTATAACAAATAAATAAAAATTAATAAAGTATTTATTAGTTTATTTAAATATAGATTTATTGTTTTTTAATATATAGTATAATGTTAAAATTTTTTCTTAAAAAAAAAACCATAACAAGTTTGTCACAATCAGCCAATTTTATTACTTAACTGTTTCTATATACAATATACTAATAAGCTTTTAAATATTTCAGTTCTTGTATATAATTTATTAAATATATCAAATAATCAGTTTAACAATTTACTAAAGACTAGAAATTTTTTATTACTTGTAATAATTTAAAATCCTAAATTTCTAACCTATTTACAAAATCTAATATAGCAATTATAATAGATTTTTTTTTAATAATAACTATTAGAATATTGTAACTTAAATAAATTTAATTTAATATTTGAATTCAACTCAAATTCAAATATAAGTGTCACAAAGAGAAAACATACACATTTATTATAGGTATATTTAAATGTGTATGTTTTCCTTTGGTGATACATATAAAAGTTTTAAACCAATTAAATTCGAATTGAAAAATATATAATAGGTAGCAAAAAGCATCTATTTATATTCAAAATACAAATTATCATGATTTAAAAACATAATTTTAAAATTTTAAAAAAAAATCTAGTTTACAAATTTGGTACTTTCAGTCTTAGATCTGTTAGAATAGTATTTATTTTATTATAAGATTAAAAAGTTATTTTGGCCAAGTTTATGTATAATCAAAATTTTGGTTTTGATATATAAAACAATAGCTTATAACTTTAGATATAAATAAGTTATATAGGGTCGGCAGCAGCCAACCGATGATCGAAGAAAATATACTAAATCCCTAGTAAGTAAGGGATTCGGTGAGAGTAATTGGGTCGCACTTGGGCAACATGCTGAATGAGTTTAGAACTATAGTAGATATAAACAAAGAAACATGTAGGATTATAATGCTGTCCATATAATAAAGGCGGAATCACAAAAAAAATAAAATAAAATAAATAATTTATATATAAATTTTATGTTTAAAAATATATAAAATTTATAACTATAAAGGTCCATATTGAGTTTGTAAATCTATATAAAATGGTTATGTGTAATATTTATATAATATTATAGAACTACACAGGTTTTATAAAAGATGTACTTGATGATAAAAATCATTAAAAGTTTTCCTTATTTGATTGCTGCCTCTTTAAAGAAAGCCGATATGGTTCTACAGTATGCATGATTTCGTTCTTCTTTTTGGCAAATACTCTCTTTTGCTGCAATACTACCCCATCATCCTGTCTCATTTCATTTTCAATATCTTTTAACAATATATCAAATTCTTCAAATGTCATTTTCATAAAGGGAGCCATCACATCTTTAGTAAGATTGAAATAACTTAAAGCGTTTTCGCGAGCAACTTCTCCAAAATAATAGTCAGCTCGGGACGTAATTTGTGTAACTTGTTGATCTACAATTTCAACTTTTCCAGTCTCTTTAAGGTGACTTTCAAAGTTCGTCATTAAATTAGTATCAATGTTATGAAGCTTGGCCCATGAAAAAACTAAATAATTACAAATAAATTGAGGAATTATTTCAAAATGCATGTTTTAGGATAAATGCGTAATAAACATACGTCCGAAAAGCAATCGTCCAAGTGCTGGTGAAAAATTACGCCCTGGAGCACATGAATATCCAATCTAATACAAATAAATTTCGAATCTATGAGTACACTATTATAGGGTAAAATTAAAATGAACACCTTTTCTCACCTCTAACCAACCTTCCGGCTTTAATACTCTAAGGAGTTCTGATAAGACATCATGAAAATAATCCTTCCCAAAGATAACCGATTTATCTCTAGAAAAAATATAATCAAATTCATTATCGGGGAATGGCAGCTTTTTTTTAAGAATATCACATTCAATAAATGTAACATTATTATTATTGTTATCACTAGAATCTGAAGATATGGTGTAATCAACTGCATAAAATTCCGAATCCGGAAATTCGGCAGCGACCTAATGTAAACATAAAAGTTAATCTCCAAAAAAAAACAAACGCTATCTACGTTCACAAATGGTAATATGTTAAATACTTCGGTAGTCCAAATGGCAGTCTCACAACTTTTTGTTTTTGCGGAAAATTTAAATTAGTAATTTTTCTTAAAAGCATTATTAAATAAGAATATAACTTACCCAAATTCCAGTACTTTGGCTCCATTCTGTAACTTTTTATGAACCGGTGCGCCTACATTGCCATTAAATATATGATTGCAGATATTATGCTTGTAAAATAAAAAATTGTTTAATCCTTCTCGATTTTTGATAGGGTGAACGCTTCCTTTAAATGTTTTTTTATATTCTTCGATTTGTGCGTTATATTTGTCGATTCGTGAATGATGGCTCATTATGAAAAGTTTTTAGACAAATCTTTCATTATTTAACAAACCTGAAAATAAATGCATTTTATTTATTTTTAATATTCGATGCGATCATAGCTTTATTTAGAACTAGTCATGTGTTTTATCTTCATTAGAACTTGAAATTGTCATTCGAGTTCTGTTAAACCGGAATAGCAGGAATAGCAGGAATAGTAAAAATAGTATCTGTTTTAATAGAGTGGGAGTGGCGAAAATCTACATCGGTTGACCCATCAGATAACAAGAACATACTCCACGTGTTTACCGTAAAAGTGCTCATTTTGACCCGATGCTTTCATTCACATTTTCCTTACGTCATTCATTCACAATTGGATTGTGACTATCATCATTAAGGGTAGATCATTTGTCATATGATTTTCCTAGCAAAAAAAATTTTATATATAAAAAAAAACATATTACTAATAAACTTTTTAGTATTATATTTAATTATTACTAAAATTTAATAGTATATAAATCTAAAACTTCTAATTATTTTAATAAAATTTTATAATTAAAAAAAAAATATTTTATATATTACTAAGTTTTCCTGGGTCAGCTTGAGTTTCCTAGGTCACACAAGATTTATATATAAAATTTGTGTAACATAAACAAAATTTTATATGTAAATCATATGATATCATATGATTTGCTATATAATTACTATTAAAAATGATCTACGTCACCCCTACCTTTAATGCGCATCATGCATGTGTCCAATGTACTATGTAAATCAAATCTTGGTTCCAAATAATAAACAATTATAAATTTTAACCTCTCTAAGTGCACACCTCCCTTAAGTGCCTTTTTTTACTATGATCCCAAGGTGGGTGCACTTAGAGGGTGTGACTGTATATAGTTCTCAATCAGTGAAGATTTTCGATAAAATCTAAATCGTTTTATTATTTATCGGTTTATAAAAAAAGGTTTCTATTACATTAAAATGTTTTCATGAGAAATTTCCAAATAGATTGATATATAAAATGTAGAGAAGATGTATGGCAATTTTCTACAAAAAATGCAAACTTCTCCTCGATATTCTACATATTAAACTATTTAGAAGTTTCGCATAAATGCATAATGGATAGCATATTTTAATAAAATAAGGAGCTTTTTTTCATAACCCAAAAAATAATTAAAATTTTATTTAAATGATATTATTGCCGCAGTATTTTTATTATTAATGTGAATGTAACAATTCATTATTTTGGGGGTTATGAAAAAATGCTTCTCATTTTATTAAAATATACTATCCGTTATGCTTTCACGCGAAATTTCTAGACAGTTTATATGTAGAATACCGAGATACAATTTGAAGTTTGCAAATTTTATGTAAAAAATTGCCATATATCTCGACATTAAATATACTAATCTATTTAGAAATTTCGCACAAAAGCATAGTGGACTACATATTTTAATGTAATAGAGTGCTTTTTTCATAATCCGATAAATAATAAAACGATTTAAGTTTTGAATGTTACACGAAAATCTTCACTAATTGATTTTCATATAGGGACTTTATATAAATTTGATTTACATAGTACAGGACACCTAGTTCCTGGAAAAACAGAATAAGAACATTTTTTACTAATCCTCCAAATTTCTGGATGGATTTAGTAATACGTACACGCTAACCATCTCTAGGCCAAAATTATCAGCTGGACAGCTTTACTTAATGAGTAGGCCATGACTTCATTAGTAAAACTTTTAGTGATCTTGGGCCAAGTTAGAGCTTAGAACCGTGAAAAATTGTGCTAGTGGTTAATCACGTTACACGATTAATAATCGTTAAACCGTTTATTTAGTAATCCAAATCATTAGTTAAAAATCAACTAGTTGATAACTTTCCCAACTAATCGTTTAAATCATCTATTAGTTCAATTCCAAGATACACCGTCTATTCGAGCTGATTCCTTTTAGTTTGGCTAATCAACAAATTTAGCCACATGATATGAAAAATCGATTAGTTGTAAATAGTGTTCTGTAGAACCGAACCAAGGACCCGGAATCGTTTAAATTATGCACGTTGATCGGCTGCAGCTAGGATCTCTCGTGTTGGTCCTGTGTCTGAAATTCGACCCACAACCAAAGAATAAAATTATTTGTAGAGTTCGCATATTACTTCTCAGGTTTTACCTGGACTTGACTCGATTTCTTCGCTTCTGACCTGGGTCTTTAAAAAACCCGTTCAGAACTGTCCATGCGGAACACTAGTTGAAAGTAGGAGTTACAAAAATCAGTATGGTGACAGATGTGATTTTATTAAACCATACCGTACTGTTTTACTTAATTGTTACGTCTAAAATTTAGGGTTAGCTTTGCTCAGAATTATGCTTATTTATAACTAAATTTTTAGAATTTATAACAACAGTATAGTACAGTTTGATAGGATGCATCTATTTAACCAACAGCTTACATAAGGTCTAGAGGTTGGAACCGGGTTTAAAATTTTGGGTTTACTACATGAATTTTGTGATATTTTGGAAATTTGTTCAATTAAATTTTAATAAATTTTAAAATATCACAAAATTCATATAATAAACCCAAATTATGATGATTCATGCATGCCCAGCCAATCATTGTCAATCATGGAAATATACATAAATTCAATCATAAATAACTCATAAGCTACCGTATAAGATAACTTCTTGTAATTGGTCAATCACATGAAATTGAATAGTGATTTATAATTGGCTAAACATTCAAACATATAGTAATTAACTAATAAAATAAAAAAAATTGTATTTATTATCTGGAGCATAGCGAAGGACATTAAATGATCAGCAAAGTGATACAAAAGTTCTTTTTTGATATATAAAATGTTACGTTTTTGATGTGATTATTGGTTCAATTCATAATATTACATTAAAAAAAGTAATTTAAAAAATTTCTGTCTGTTCCATTGCATATTACGTGACCATTTTATTTGTGCTTAAATGCAAAATAGTTACTTTATTTGCAAAACAAAAGTACAGATTGATTTTATTTGTCTGAAGCATAGTGAAAGATTATATTATTCTGTAAATGGTGATATGCAAGATTTGTTTGTTTATCTTATTCAAAATTGTTACCAAAATTTGCAGTTATGTGATATTAACAAAAATTCTTTAAGTTTGAGTAGAATCTATGTTTTAATAAGATTTTAGAAGCTCAAATAGCAAAATCATTTAAAAAAATTTTATTAATATGCAGATAGTGATTTCTTATGCAGATTTTTGAAAAATTGGGAATTTTTGACAAAATGAATGTTTGTTTTGAATTGTCCTAATTATGTTATATTACATCAAACCATTATTAATAATTAGACAATTTTTTGTTAATTATGTAACTACAAAATTTTGTTAATAATCTTAGGTAAAGTAAAAAGTGCAGTAAAATTTTATGACATAATCTAAAAGATATACTTCTAAGCAAAGACATGTTTTCCTTATTGTGCTTTGAGATTGCTTCTAGTATATAAATTATTAATATATATATGACTTAAGAAAAAAGACATATAAAAGTATGGTAACCTAGTGAAGTGAACAGATTATTAATCTTCAAGTAGCAAATCTAGAATTTAAATTTTATAAATACCAAATTTTAAAAATTATATTTGTGTTATAATAATTATCTCTATTAATTAGTTAAATTGGCATATCTGTAATTTTCAATTACATTATCTCAAATAGAAGTTTAGAGCATTTATATAAAATATAACATTATATATATATAAAAGAATATTAATAATCAATATTGTATATAACTTTGGTGCAAACCTATAATAAGATTACCAGATACAAAAAACAAAAGAACTGAAGAGTTAGAAATATATTTGAAAATTCTAAGTAAAATAATAGTATAAATTTTTAACAGTATTATTAAACTGATAAAAATCTATAAAACATCTTAAAAAAAATAAACTGATAAACTGAATAACAAGATATATAGAGAAGTATATAATCGACCAGACTAGTAGAATTACTAAAGAAAAAAGATACTAAGATATACTAAGATATATTATATCAGGTTATTTGAACTAAAAATCTGATAAGTTCTATTAATTCTAAGTAATAATTAGTAAAAAATAATAAAAAATATCTGAAAAATAAATACTAAAGTTTGAATGAACTTTACAAAAATATAACAGTTTAATAGTTAGTTCTAACTTTAAATATTTATTTAAACCAAAGTAAAACTAGATTAGTTATAAGTATAAAATATAGAAGGTTTTGATAAATTTAGTACTAAGTTAAATATAACCTAGTAACTATAATATATTTGCATTTGGATATAATTAATAAAATAAAACATGATACAGAAACTTAAGTGTTTAAGAGTCGAGATAATGTAATAGTAATTATATAGCAAATAATATAATATTATATGATTTATATAAAATTTTGTTTATGTTATATAAATTTTCTATATAAATCTTGTATAACCTAGAAAACTCATAAGCTAACTTAAAAAAATTTAATAATATATAAAATAATTTTTTTAAAACAAAATAAATTATAAAATTTTATTAAAATAATTAGAAGTATTAGATTTATGTACTATTAAATATTAATAACAATTGAATATAATACTGTGAACACAAATTACAACTCTTTTCAATGATCATTTGTACCAAATTCTTTTTAAACAAAAATTGTTCTTTTTTCAAATTATTATTAAGTATATCTATCTTGGGCTGCCTAAATAAAATTGTTTCTTATAAGCTTTTATATATAAGCAGCCTACTTTTATATCTCTAAAAATGTTTATCATTAAAATATAACTAAATTAAATACCTTTCTTGTCTTACTAAATACTCATTATTTTACTAAGTAAAATATAGTAGCTACTTAAAACAAAAAAGATTTAGTACAACTTTATCTTTATTTTGATATATCATACTTTTTATATGATCAAAAACTGATAGTTTTATTAAAAAATATATTAAAACTCTTTTACAATTTTTTTTAAAAATTTGTAAAAAAATTTTTTTTTTAGAAGACTTTAATCCTCTAGGGCATTTCAGACCTGTATTATTAATTAAGATTACTAATTATTTTATACAAATCTATTTTTGTTTTATTTATTTTTAAATTAAACTTAATATTACTAATTTTGTCTTAGTAAATTTATACAAATTTTTGTTCTATATTGATTACACTAACCACTTAGGTGTTATGCCAGGTGTTATCTTAAATATCATATTTTTTATTTGTCACATTTTTTATCTGTCACATTCTTTATTTGTTACACCTTTATTTGTCACATCTCAATACCAAAAATAACAGAAAAATGTCTACTTTA